ACCTGGTAGTACTTGCGAGGTATGTAAGACAGAAGTCAGTGGCATAAAGAACTTTGACTAAAAACCCACTAAATAGAAAATTATTAAAAAGCCTGGATATTTTGGTGATGATATTTATTTTACCGCGGGAGAGTGTGTTCCTCTGTATCTGAAGTTGACAATAGCACCAGTTTTCCTCCCAACTCGAATCTTGGAGGTCAATCTCCGTTACTCAACGTTTTTCTTCATTTGGACAGGAGGACGACCAATTCCTAGAAGATATCGATGTTTCATGGCCGCTTGAAAGTGAAGAGGTGGAAACTTTTCCAATGGTAATGTCCTATTCATTGGTTCCAAAACAATTATCATGCATGGTGTTCTTATGCTTGTTGTGCCAACTCGAGTTGATCCTGCTATGCATATTTCTCTTGCGACTCTTAGGATACAGATATACAAAGAGAAGAGGAGGATGACGAGGATGATGAGGACGATAATCTGCCTTTGGGAGTAGTCCGAAAGGTATGTTAAACATTACGAAGAAAAACCGGCAAATGTTTAATTCCTTCCTTTAACACCGTCTTATTTTAAATTTCAAACAGAAAATGAGAAGCCATTCGGAACAGGGAAGCCACGCAACGGTTTGCCAAATAAAAGAACAGGTATTTCTCATTTATTTCAGTAACTGCGGGAAATAACCAGTTATTATAAACGTCGAAACTAGTAACAATTCAAAACTGTTAAAAAACCCGGTTTATGTACATTTTCTGACTACCATAAAAAATTGTGCTTTCTCGCGTTCTATTCTGTAGGAGCACTCTGAAAAGAAAGAGGAGTGGGTAGCGGTAGGCTACTCCAGAGATTTAAAGTACATAGGGAAAGTTGTGAGTGAGGAGGAAACCACACTAACGGTCAGGTTCCTGGAACGAAGAGATGGAACGTATGAAATTAAAAAGAATGCCGAGGAGGTGGAAAAAAGTTTAGTATTCATGCGTGACGTCCAAGTCAAGTGGATAGGACCTGGCCGTTATGAGATTGCCGAACCGAATACCGTAAAGAAAGAACACGAGGAGCACTGGAGGATATTGCGTCTACGCGAAAAGGTGCACTTTATTCAGAAAAGTGTTAGTTTAATTTTAACGCTGCCTAATTTACTGCAAACAGATAATATGATCACTTGTTGCAAAACTTGTATACGGTATATAATTATCAGGAAAAAGCTTTACGCTGCAATGCAATACAATCAATACAATCCTTTATTTACCCACTATAGACTCGAACAGGGCTTAAAGTTAAATGCTATGATCTGCTACCGCTCATGTTGGATTTTTTTATT